TTAGTGACTACGCAAACCTACATATGTACCATTTTTATAGCTTATGTACAATATATAAATAAGTTCCGATTTTTAATTAAGGTCTTTGAACATGACTTATCTTGGGGTTGAAATTTAGGTGACTACAGCATCTTTTAGGGGGCTTACAGTCAACAGGTTTATGTTCCATATCTATTATTGAAATAGTCACAAATGTTTTCTTACGTAATGAACTTCATTGTGTATATCTGAAGCCTTGATATTAATATACGTCTTTAACTTTGAATAATTTTGCTTTTTTCACTGAAAGAGCCAACAAATGTCCATACAGATTTGTTGTTGACTTCAAAAAAAAATCGTAAGCCGTTGGATATACTGCTTCAGCATTTTTATAACGTTAGCGTTTTTTTTATGGGTAAATAAACCTTTAAGAAGATTATATACCCTGGACGAAAAAAAATCATCTTATATAACGTATCGAAGAGATTTTTTAGTATATGATGTGTGACATTACTGCTACTTGTTTATCTTGTCATTTGAGCCTCATTATTGTATGTACTCGCGTGGAGAGGCCGTGACATTTAATCCAATACAGTGTGTGTTGTGTATCGGGTTTTACCCCAATGTCCCTGACCTTAAGGTAATACCAGACTTTATCCGTAAACAGCTAGATTATCTGAGGCTCCTGCTGTGAGAGTACTATATATAGACAGCTTTTTATTACTTTAGATCTAATTTTTTTGCCTCTTCTTGTTTTTCATTTTCAAAAACTTGCCTTGTCACTTTCTAATAAACCTTTTAATAAGACAAGAATTAATCGACCTTGTCTTGACTGATAGTGAAAACGACCCAAATAAACAAGTATCGTTCCACTAAAATTGTTAGCTTCACAATCTTGACAATGAAACTCACAACCACTCTTTATGTGTTCATATAAAAACGAGACTATCTTAGTTATGCAAATTTTAAAGGGACTCCCGGCAAAAAACGTATTTCAGTGTTGGTTTGAAAAGTGCAAATTAAAATAATCTTCAGGATTCCTCTCTTATGACAGGATTTCGTACTAACTTAAAAAATATATATATTAAAAAATCTTATATGTTGATACCAGATATGATTATGTTGCGAAACGAATACAGTTCTAATGCCTTCTCAGATATATATCCCAATCAATATGATCTTTCGTAGTTATATTATAAAAGTGAAACTAAAAATTGATGTCTTGAAAGAAAAGAGAAAGAATCCAGGATTGAATCATCTCTATTAGAATGCATTAAATGCAATAGTGCTAGTATGCAATTAAGAACCGCCTGTTACAGCCCCTCTGGTGTAGTCGTCCTGGTGTTGTGTGTTGTTTTTTTTTTACAGGAAACCATTTTATTCCTTCATTTATCAGTAGCCCAAACTGTGGTATAATTAGAAAAAAATGTTAAATATATATGGAAGGCAACCTATAGCAATAGTATATAGGTAGTTATTTTTAAAGGCTGACTTAGAGTTACATTTCGCTTATTTGGGAAAAGTCACATTTTAGTATAAACATTCTTTCACTTTCACTTTCATTAACTATGGTAACATGATATTTTGGTAATAATGTAATATTAGTGTGCAGCTAAATTAGCTGATGATGTTAACAGCAATAGGCATCATGATGATTTATCAAACATTTGTGCTTCGCGCTTACAACACAGAATCTCCTTGTATCCTTTAGATGTCAAAAATATTTATAAAATCATATCCACTGGTCAATATTGCTTCTTGAGTTTCAGCTGACATACAAAATGTACGATATCCTTCTAACACTCAAAATAATAAAACAATAGTTTGCTTAAAAGAACAAAGATATATAACAGCGGGGAGACACAATGAGACATTCTTAATTCAAACTCGATACACAATGGACAAGCTAGGATAGCTCTGCCGTTGCTCCTGTAATATCCAATTTTAACAACTTTATCAAATCATCAGTCAACTATTCGTTGACATCTAGTGCCATTTTCGAATCATAAAATGTTTCTTGAAAGCAACATTTGTTTCTATACTTTTGATAATATCTTTAATACTTCGTCAACAACATGTTTATCTTTATGATGAGGATGGTAACACTTTTTTGATCATGTGCTTCGGATGTACGTGCCTTGTTAAAAGATAAACATGTTTCTATTTCGTGGAAGAATACACATGTTTATACCATGTTTAGTTTAATAGCCGTATCTTTAGATACGGGTACTTGAGCACAACGTCAACAACAAGTACTTTATCTTGAAATTTAGGTTGTAAAGTTCATACTGGATAGGTATTATTTGTATTTTGACAAATGACTAATGTAGTTCAATGTTCAATCAAATCATAATGTACTCAGTTTATCTCTTACAATCGTCCTGTCTTTGTATGTCTGGTTATTAGCATGTAATTTAATTGTAATAACTGTAAACGCATTCACATATCTTATTCGGAGCTTTTATATATGCATTTTTATATATGAATATAACTATATCATTTATAAACGGATGCATTATCAGCCGACCTCGGGTAGACTTTCCGAGAAACGTCAGCCTGCTCTTTCATGATAGTTACATCAATTTGCAATTCAGATGCACACTTGTATCTGAAGCAGGTGCACTTATATCTTATCGAGAACTTTATACCAGGTACTTGACATATTAAATGATTAGACTTTATACCTAACCCAATCAGGATTTCTGAGAAAGTTGGGTATTCGTGGAAAGAGCTACCTTCATTATATCAAAATCGAAAGTACAAAATGTATTTCTCTTCCGCTTTTCTCCCATTGGCTAAACAGAAAGATGTTTATGCATTCTCAGTCCTCGTGCTTTTGTAAAACACACTTGCCTTCACAAAAACCTACTGTATATGTTACATAATAAAATGAAGTGATACGGATCTTACTGGTTCACGCTTATTATACTGAATATTACATGCAGTTACATTCTCAGATTGTACTTATAAACAAATTGGGAAGACAAATTATCTTGTGTCTGCTGTCGGTCATTTTGAATCCTGCAATTTGAAATAAGGTGCGTGATTATATACTGATGGACATACCATTGACTCAAAATATTGAACTATATGCTTCACAATGCTTTGCAATATTTGTTTCAGTTTCGATAATTGAGTGCCGTCTCTAACTTCACTAACCCAACATTTGATTTAGTCTGGCTAAGTTGATTATTTGCTAGAATTTATCTTTATCTAACCCAAATGCTGCATTTGTTTCAGTTTCGCTAAGATAGTTTTTTTTATAGAATACAGCAACATCTGTTTCTTACAATTTCACATAATATTCTATATTGCTATTTTGCAGACTACAGCATCATCTCCATCTTACAAGAATCCTAACAACATAAACAATACAATTTCACTTATATTGCTATTTTGCAGACTTAAGTGACACCACTTCCTCACAATATCCGGAAACCTGTATAAAACGCCCATTTAACTAGATCACACTTTGTAACTTTGTATACAAATTGGACCTAGGTTCCTATACAGTAGGGTTGACATATAATTCACCGTGTTTATATCGATACATCAATTATTGTTATAAGTTGAGTTATTATCTTTAAGAAATATTTCTATTCCAATAAATGCTTCACTGATCCACTGTATGGCACTGCTCTTTAACCAACAACATACACCAGAGTCTCAATAGATATTGTTTGGTCATAAATACAAGTGTTCAATACCGTATTCCTTGACCCAGATTGGTAATGATTTCAAACCAGGGCCTCGGTCTCTTAACAGATATCATTTCAACGTAAGACAAATACATTTGATAACTAAATCTAGTCTGGAAACCAGGTGTTCAAAGTCTAGTCAACTTAACAGGTACGATTTTAACGTTTAACAAATACATCTAGTCTGGAAACCAGATGTTCAAAGTTTAGTCAACTTAACAGGAACGATTTAACGTTAAACAAATACATCTAGTCTGCGAACCAGATGTTCAAAGTCTAGTCAACTTAACAGGTACGATTTTAACGTTGAACAAATACATCTAGTCTGGGAACCAGATGTTCAAAGTTTAGTCAAATATAATTGAATTATGCCTTGTGTTTTCAAAATAATGAATCTCATAATTCAAATTTCATTATCTGGTTCTAGCATCACCAACGAATCCAAGAAGGACGAAACAACTGTATTATGTAATTCCTGTTTGCATGCTATCTTTATCACCAATTGTTTTAGATTCAATCAAGTGTGTACCTTCTGTTGATCTTTAAAACATTTTATCAGAAATAAAGAATCATTCGGGCCCTTTTAATTAAAAGTTGATCTTATTTCTTTAATTTACGACTATAAAAAGCTTTTAAAGGCCTATGTCTTGGTCTATCTCAATCAGTCTTGAAGTAATGTAATGAAGTAAATATGCAGGTATATACCTCAAAGCGCACATTCAGTGATCGTAATCGTAACCCTGTACTTTAGATACAATAATGCAAACTATGTGCATTGTTTTACCATGTCTAGCTTCCAAAGTACAACACGTGCATTTAAATAACCGTTTTCAATCCTGGCATACTGCCCTTCTGTATTAAAGATTGGAATGTAACTAATGAACTATTATTCCAATCATAAAATACCTGGTTGAAAAAAAAAACCTATTGTCTTTCTCGTCAATCCTGTCTAGCTAGTTCTTATCACATATTTTATCTATTTGTGGAATAAATGCATAAACATTCTTTGTAATTTGAAATTAATTTTCAAATAATTAAAATATTTAATTATAGGTTTGTATGGTACTCTTATTAAAATCCTATGTTTTTTTTAATGAAATATTTTATTCTTTAATCAGTTCAACAAGAAATGCGTTACCGGTCCTTGTATTTCCAAATTATTTACTTTGAATTTTTAGCTTAATGTTTGATTGTCTTATTTCGTTTTATAATCCTTGAAGGATATAATTATAATTTTACAAGACAAACAATGAAAATATATGTATGGTATGGATAATCATTAAGTGATCAAATGTATTTTTGAGAAATAACTCGAATGCATACTTATGAGACATTTCACTTATTTTTTTATTGATTGTTGCTTCAATTTTCACATGAGAATAACAAGTTCTCCACAACGTGGTGATAAGTCATTATGTAAATGTTGAAAAGTTCAGCCGGTGTCAAGGTCCATGCTGGTATACGAGAGATTCAGTCTTTTAAACCTGACAAACATCGCTTTGATATGCAAGTGTAAGTTCCTTGAGGTGTCTATGAATAGTGAATAGAGTCACGGTTGGTGGCAGAACACAATACTTGCGATTCCATCTTCACTTTAATTACAGTTGACGTCGCTTTTCAGGTAACACCCATCATATACTACAGTGCATATTACAGGTAAAACCCATCATACACTACAGTGCATTACACAGGCAACACCCATAATTACACAGCAAAAAAATATTTCATCTTTCTGGGACGAGTTCCCAGTGAAATGCATAAAGCTCGTGAATGACAAATGTCTACCATCGCGCCCTCCTTCGAGGTCAGATAGTCTTGACCGAAAAGGACTAGTCTGCTGTGGGCCAGTCGGGTCAGATTGACCGTTTCGGTATGGGAACCGATACAAGAGTTAATCTTGTTGATGATCACAGGGGATCATTTGAAGTTATGTCCATTTTCAGGAACAATTTGTTCACCTGTTGAATACACGTTTCATGATGTTGGACTTTTTCTTGTTGAAGCGAAGAGATGATTGAACAACTGCTTTAAACACGGAAGAAACTCCCTCTTTAGCAATAGCTGAACTCTCCAGAAAACCATCGGCATTGATGTGCTTGGCCAGAGCTTCCCCCTCTTTCTTACTAACATGCTGAGAGTTTGTGTCCTTTCTGAGGTCAGTCTGGGTAGCCACAAGGATGACCGGACGTTTCTTAGCGATGTTCCTGATTTCAGGAGCCCAGAAGTCTCGGACACTATCCAAGGAGTCTCGGTCTACCACACTGTAGCAGATGACAAAGACATCCGTCTCTTTGTATGTACTTGTGGCTAGATCATCGTGCTGTAAAAATAATAAAAGCAATTATAATAGTTGCCGAAATCCTGTAATTATTTTTTAAATGTTTCTTGTAATTATGAGGAAATATATTATAGAATCATAGAATACAGCATCATATTATTTTATCAATCAAATATACACTTATAATCAGAAATTCATATTTATCATATAAATTGTAAATTGAAATCAAAGTTAACAAACCGTTTTTATAATTTATAATAAATGCATTAAATATTATTGAAATATTGAAGCTTACCTCTCCAGCCATGTCAGTGAGTGTAATTCCGTATTTATTCCCATCCACATAAGTAGTACCTCTGTATGTGTCCATGACGGTGGCCACATAATTGACCGGAAATGTCTGGTCAGCAAAGGAGCGTGCGAGACACGTCTTTCCGACCATTCCGTCCCCTACCAGGGTACACTGGACGCCAGACTTATGTACAGACATCACCATCTTTACGTTAAGGACAAAGGTGTGCTACTTAATACTGCGTAATGTAATATCCTGTATGCGTGACAAGGTAGTAGGCTTGTTTGTAAAGTATGGGGCTAAACTTAACCCTCGGAGCTTTTATAGCCTCGTATAAGGACACCGTCAGCCAATCAAATCACAGTACTAAAGGTTTGTGAATTTGACTATGTCATGGCCCGTTACGTAGTGTTTCCTCGTACCTGACGACTGTTCTTGTCGGCAAACTCACCTGTAAAACGTGTGGTCGGGGTTATCAGACCAGACTCGTATATATACACATAAATTAAAAACCTGAGAACTTGAGCCCTCTGATACCACCGACAGATACTATAAAGTATATTATAATATTTTGATATATAGTAATCAGGTATAAGGTATACAACAACTTGCATTAACCCCTGTATTATAAATGTGCTTTAATTATTAAGTGCAAACTTCTCAACACATTCATTTAGCTAGTAAATTAAACTGGGATATCTGAATTGCCTTAGATGAAAAGTGACAAATATGTTCTATTTGTTAGTTTAAAAGATGAGTCTAGGAACAAAAGACTATGACAATTAATATTATTCATTATCAATTAAGATCCTAAGTGTGATAGATGTATGTGGTACCAAACTTAGACATAGAACGATTTAACTTCTAAACTGTTGAAATAAAATTTAATTTCAGACATTATTCAAATAATGATCCATGATGACGAGAATACATTTTACATGCAATATGTTTTATCTTGGTTCTCAATCTGAACATAAAGCCAATTATACACCAATGTAATTACAACATCAACAAGGGTTTTAATAGAAACCGTCCTTTAAATGGTAGCATCTGATCTGCATACTAAGATGTCCAACCGTCTTTAATATGGACAGGAAAAGACATAATTGCAGTATAATCCTACACACTGTCATATACTTGTGAAACATTCAGTGAAATATACATAAACTACATTTTTGAAAATACAAGCGTTCATTTGGCAATAAAATATCCGTAACTACTGTCGATTTATATATTATCAGTATCATGGTAGGAATGCTAATCAATGGTCTAGTTTAGGTAATTTATGGTAGCATCAACGGTCAATGTGGTAGTTCTGGTCATACTATGTTTGAAACAATACAAAAATTATATCAAACAAGTGTTACTGGATAAATATTTTCGTGCAGCTGAAACATTAACACAATACTAATTAGCTTCCTACGCTCATACATGTGTGTCATATACTTATATAATCATCAGAGCAGCCTTGTTTTAAACCTTTAAAACTTATCAGCATGTCTCCTTATTCCCTTCTCAGTTAGCTTTGCATGACTTTTAATAAAGTAGATATAAAACGATACCTCGCAGGAGTAAACACAATTAAGCAATAAAGGAATAAAATTCTACATGAACTGAGATGGTTTTCCGCCTAGTGAATAACCTCACGAATACATCCAGTTCCAAATCACAGTGACCATTTAAAAGATTATTTCTTGTTAACAATGCTGATTAAATAACATGGCATTTGTGCCCACAGGTCACCAGTGTTATAAATGCCCCACACAAGGACTAGTAAGTAGTGATCCGTTGAAAGGACTAGTATTAAGATTAAATAAACAACCCATTCTATATGTGGTCATCGGTGCTATTGAAACTTGACCTTGGAATACCCTATTTGAAAGGGTCACTCAATGGCAAACGGTAATTATTTTGCATTGTCACTGTTATTCAGTACTCAATTATTTGGCCACACTTGCATAGAAAAGTATTTCTGGTCGAGAAATTATCCTTGGCTAGCAGACTTAGGAAGTTTCAGTACTTTGTTTATAGGAATAATTAGATTGACGAAATGGCCATCTTTTACTAACTTGAAGTTTGAAAATAAGAAATCAGACAACTAAATGTGACAAGAGTTAAAAACTATCAATCAATTTCAGTCAATTCAATTAGTATTAAATTAACCATGCATGATGTCTCGCAAATACAATTGTTTAGACAACTGAATCAATACACATAATGGTACGGGAAGTGCATAACAATTAAAGCTTTTGTTATATACATCATATACAAAATAAGATTTGGTAACTCAGCATTAATTTTGCATATACATTTTGCATATCTAAAATTAATTTTAGTGCCCCTACCATATATTTACCTGTGACGCACTTCCCATGTCACTTGACTGTGTTGTGTTTTAAAAACAGGACTCTTACAGGAAATGCATGATAATTTTCTAATTTGTGTCTGTTTTTATCACAAGCCACACCCCATGATTCACTCATGCAACAACAAATGTCAGCAGAATATTATATAGATAATTTACACTGAAAAAAGCAATAGCGCTACTGTTAAATTCTAAACATAATTTGTAAGAAGAAATGATTGGAGAGTTGGGGTCGAAAGGTCCGTAAATTAAAATCAATCATGTTTTCAGTAACCGGAGCTTTATGAGAATAAAGAGTGTATTTTATTTCCAGTAAGTAAATAAGTTCTAAGCAATAAATGTATATGTACATCTACATTCAAAGCTGATGGTGTAATTTTGGCAGAGAACACTAACTTAACAGGCCATTTAACGTGTTTATCATACATAGGAGCCAGTATATCTTTATATCATTGAGAAGATTGCAATCAATTCAGTTTCATGGGGTAGAGTCACTTAAGGTTTTAGGCATACTATTTATGGTGTTTGTTATAACGAAATCACGGATTTGTATTAAAACATATATACCCACGTGACATATTTTCCATAAACCTCAAGGCCACAGGGCTTAGTAAATTATCATACAATTTAAATTACTCTTGTGAAAATGATGGAGGCAAACTGGTTTTTCCGGACGTGAAAACTATGTCACTGGCTTGTACCCTGAGGTCCATTATGAAATATATACTAGGGAAAACCCGTATCATTAAAATAAGCCAACGTTAACTTTTTGCAATACAATAATTTCTTCTATGAGAGACTTCCTGTTGGTATTTTGCGGTCAACTACCCATTCGAAGCTTTCTCTTAGGATCATCATCATCATCATCATCATCATCATCATCCGTCCTCCCCAAACATAGTCATAGATGCAGCGTCCCTGACAAAAAGACAAACACTTTTTTGAAACCATTTCTGACAATTTATTGATTCACGTCAATAAAGAAAATATCTAAAAAGGAAAATGCAACAGTGCGCTGAAAGCACTATTATTTTTGCGCTTTCTTTTTTGAAGGTCCCTACTCTACATAACATCAAAAGTCCATAATCGGGAGCAAGGCGAAAAACGTTTAACTTTAGCAAAATAGCCCTATGGATAAAAGGTCCTTGTATCATAAAGTGCCGACAACAGCAGAAACTCATTGAGTTCGCGAGCTTGTTTGGGAGTATGGTGTTGGTGAGTTTATAAATATCACCTCTGACCCTGAACCTAAAGCGATTAGCACTTTGCTTTGTGTATTCTAATCCGCGTTAAATCTTCACCTTTTGTACAAAATATATTTTGGCACTGATTGTCAAAACAATGTGACCTTCATGTTGAACTTAAGGAAGTTTCGTAACGATTTTTTGACAAGTATATGTACTTTAAAAAAGGGATGTTGTGGTAGGGAAGGTTGCACATAATACATACTGCAGCATGTTTTTAAAACCACAATTGAAAGATTGAGCATATACATTGGGGAAATTTAGGCTGAACAGTTCATCATTTTATAAAGTCAGAGACACCTAAATAGACAACAGCATAATTGGCAGGGTAACAACGTACTATTTCATCAACCGGAACCCTAGTTTAAGCGCGACAAACTAAACTGCATATATATAACATGGTACTCAAACAAATATTTACATTTTCAAATTAGTAAAACCATTCGTATAGGCCATCTAACCCTATTTACCATAAGTACTACCTCACATTGTTATTATGATTGTTAACAACATATCAGGAAAGACTTGCTTTTGCTCTACTATTTGAGGAGATTTTCGTTTTTTTAAAAAGAGTCATGGTAATTGAAATGAAAACATTTTGTGAGTTTTTCAAAAATTAAAGAGTTCAAGATGTGGTTTGGCGTGTTTTACATAACGACAGTCTGAAAAAAGGTGTAACCTTTCATCATGCCTGGATTTCATATACCGGCAAATCATTAATATATAAAACCATTAAGAACGAAAAACGTGTGAACAAATGAAAGGTTAATTATGAAAACATGTAGGTTACATTAATGCAGACATTTTGTTTCGCAGACATTCGAGGTTAGTGTGTTAATAGTTTCTTGCATAAATTTCAAATTTTCACATAAATCTTTCAGAATTTGCTTGACCTAGTAACAGAAAAATGACAAGTAACGCAGTATATCACTAATGATGGAAGTGACATATCCAAGACTTATTAATCCATTGCATGTAGTATGTAGGATGAAACAGTCCTAAGCAACTTACAAACACTAAGTAGATATTGTTTTCATCCAGTTTCGGTTTTGATAATGGTGTACGTATGTGCGTCAATATCTGCGACCTTTTTCGAAAAAAAATATCCATTAATTAAAATTCGTTTCGGAACATTGCCATAGTCTTAACAGCATATAAAGCGGTTTGAAATGGGAACAAAATCTTCCTCCAGAGCAAAACAAAAGACAAACTAAATCAATTCCAAACTAAACTAATCTTGTCGATTGAAAACTCAATAAAATGGGAACAGAATGGTTTCATTAACAATTATTGGAAAAAGAATCTAAGAGGAATTTTAACGACTAATAGGATACAAATAGCCCGACAGGACCAGAGAAGACCTTCGTGTGTGGTTGGAGGAACGTTGATAAACTGATAACATAGACAATACGATGTGTGTGGTTAGCTTATTATCACACACACTGACGAATAAACAAATATTGTTGTCTTATCCTTGCATCACTACAAACATCATTGGGATTCTTAAAAACATGAAGTTCAGGGGTATCCTAATTAGACGCGACAGGGTCAGATGAAGTCCTACAAATTACATACCGGCAGTTGAATATAATAATCACAAATGTTTCTGTGCTCTATATAGATTTACATTAAATGTCTTTACGTACTTTACTTAAATCTGCAAAGTGGCTTATGCAAAAAAAGAGCACAGTTCATTTTTTTCT